GTGTAGTTGTATAATTCGACAAGTCAAGCACAAAGTGGTACGGCAGATGGTTAACACATTATGGATCTTGCTTCATTTTATAACTTTCGATGTCTGTTTTGAACCTTGATGAGGATTCCTATAACGCATAAAGTCGTGAGGCAAATTACCTGTGAAGTTCGTGTCTTTGGAGTGCACAGCTGCTTGGAACAGGGTGAAGGGATTAACCATTGGAAAAAGTGTTCAAAATGCTGTGTTCAGAGATAATTTTTAAAGTATTTAAAGGAACAGAAGTTGATAATTATTGTCATGGTTGAATCCATGTTAATTTTGTACAATGTATAAATCAAGTGGACGCATTCTGTGGAGATGTCTAAACTAAGGGTCCGCGCACCTAAAACAGTCAATGAACAAAGAGTTCATAAGAATAATTAGTATTTTGCATTACTCATTAATTTTGACTGCTATCATTTTAAACTCATCTAAGAGAGGATACAATACATTCATCGAAACGGTATGTAATATTCAAAGTTCGATGTTAACTATTCAGTTGTTTTTAATCTCCTTATTTTCTCCTAAAATGTTTCTAAATGAAATTTTTTTTCACTTCATAGGCTGTGATTGTTGATGAAGGGCATAGACTTAAAAATCCTTTATCCAAGCTATACAAGTGTTTAGTAAAGTTCACCGCTGGTTTACGCCTTATCGTCACTGGTACACCTTTACACAATCGACTTTCCGAGTTATGGTCCCTGTTACATTTTGTACTACCGGAAATTTTCACTTCATTGGCAACATTTGAAGTTAGTGAGAAGTGTTTGACATTGTTTTTATCAATATTATATGCTACTGTATAAATTATTATTTCTAATTTATTTTATACTAAGTATTTTCTGATATTTACATTTACATTTACATTTACATTTTTAGTCAATATATTTTCATTACTACTTAACCAATTGAAAAGCAATTTTATATGGAAATAATACTAAGATGCATTTTTTGCAGTTTAAGTTATAATTATGAATTACATCAATATTAGTAAATTTTAATATTTTAAAAGTTTCATTTCAGAGTATAAAAAAAAGAGATCATGATTTGTTCCACAGTGTAGACTAACTACAATGTTGCGGTATTTGACTCGATATAAAGCGAAATATTTATAAACATTTAAATATGCTATGAAATAAATCTCCCCATCAGTTTCCGTATACTATACTTTGGCGAATCCCCGTTAGTGCGACGCCACTAATAAGAAGTCAAATACGGGTTCAGTTGGATGAGTTTATTTTAGACAAACGTTCATGTAGACATGAGAACGAAAAGTACACAATCAAAGCAAAGCGAAGTGGAGAAGGCGAGGGAGCCAATTCAACTCGATGAAGTATGACTAAGAATTTATATATTCAGACAAGAATAAGCCAGATATGTAATAAGCGAGATAGGCGTGCACACACACACGAATAATAGCAACGCAGATATGAACGAATGATTGACAAGGTTAAAACACAAGTGGGTTAATTAGGATGTTCAAAAGCTAGGACGAGCTCTGTGAGCTAAATAGACATAGAAGCACTTACAAAAACCTAATAATATTGTTGAAATTTCACTTATATGTAATACCATTTTCAATACTGCTAATTTCTTTGATAGCAATGGTTTGATCCTGTTGTATTATGTGATATCGCTGGTCAAAATCGTTTGATTGCTGCTGAAATGGAAAATTCTCTTGTTACAAAACTTCATCAGATTATTCATCCATTTATGCTACGTCGATTGAAAACTGACGTGAATTTAAAAATTCCTCCAAAAAAAGAAATTGTACTCCGAGTCAATATGGTACCAATTCAAAAAGTAAAAATATTTAATTACAGTTGAAAATGTTTTAGTTATTTTTTTTTAGCATTTTTTTTTAAAAATTTCATTTCTGAATAGTTGCCAAAATGACTTGTTATCACAATTTACTTAACTCGTTCCTGAATTGAGGTCGTAGAAATTTTATTTTCTAAACTTCAAGATTAAACAATATACTTATGTGTCCATTGTTTAAAATGTTTATGTGCAAGTCAACAAACATTGAACTCTTCAACTTGGCCGTAGCTTCTTCATGTTTAGCATCTGAACAACACAATAAAGTACACTGGTTCGATGTCTTAACCTTCGTAATTCGCCATCACCTTTATCTTTTTCTTTTTAAGTTTATTTCACTAGATTCTATTTCTTGAATAATATCGTCGAACCCTATTCTCTCTGATTACTGCCAATACTTCTACTATATCTACTACTATGGTATTTGAAGTGACAATTGCGTCTCTGTGCTAATGTGTTGTTTTGAAACATGAACTGATGTACCTAGGTTCGAGGTTCTAAGTTGTAACTGACTGACTGACACATATGATATATTTTTGTAAGAATATGACCTCTTCGTTGATCCTTGCCTCACAACATTCATTCTTATCGGTTTTCTTTGAAATCCTTACCACATTTAGAAAAAGATTCGTTTTTCTTTAATAAGTTTTCCTCGTTAAGAGCCATTACAGTTTCACGAATTCATTGAGAGTTTTAGTTTGTATGCTTATTAAATAAACCATTTGTAAAGTAAGCACTATTGAAAAGTTTTTGACTGAAATGAAATAACTATTAACCTTGTCTTTGTTCTATCTACTAGGTTTAGTACGAAAGCTTATTTGGTCAATACTGTCTTCTTCATATTTTTCATATATATGTTAAGAAGACTCGAAGGATTCTACTCAGCGTATTTCCTACACCCAAACTTCTCATTCACGAATCTTGGTCAACGCTTGATATTTGGGAGGTCGATGAATGAGTAGTAACTCATTGAAATCTGTTATCTTACTGATATGTATACTAGAAAATGAAGAACATCTTGAAAACAACTCCCAAGATTTCAACAACTAACCAATCACAGTAATCCTTCAATTTCATTAAAGTACCGTACGGTAGTAAGAAAAAAGACTTCACGACTGATAATTTACTTCTTGATCACAAAAAATTAAATTACATGACTTTTCCATAGGCTTGTTTATATAAAGAAAAGACACTGCATGCACATTACCCATTTCAACTTCGGTTGTGAACTTAAATGAATAATATCCTTCTATACAAAAGCCAGTTCATTTTGTAAATTAATTTCCGAATGAACAATCCTTTAAGAATAATCAGCTATACACCAGTGATAAAGTTCGAGATGAACTCTTGAGCTTGCAGTAAGAAGCACCGACATATGAAGTTTAATCATGCCAGAAGTTGAACAGTTATCGTTGTTATCAATTAATGATGGTAGACAAGCAACATGAATTGATAGAATTTAAAATATTCACCCACTTAATCTCACTTCCATGACTTTAAATTAATTAATTTAAATCTTAGCATGCTATAAGCTATCTTTAAACTTAGCATTTCTCTGAAAATATCTTACTAAGTTACAGAGTTTAAACTCTATTTCTACATCAACAAGCTTAATATTTAGATTACTCTAGATTACTATTTTGTATGGAGAAATCTATAAACTTTTGAATTTTGATATATTCGTTTTCTAGAAATTATACTTCTATGTTCTTAGTACTTTGATGAAAAACCAGAATCCTTATTCTATAAATAAATCAAAGAAATCTCGGTTTGGAAATACCTGGACTTCTGTTGACAAATACAATATACTGGAAAAACCAATGATTGATTGTAGCAATTTACAGAATGAACAAATTTCTCGTCCATTTACTAGAAATATGAGGTGAGTGAAAATTTACAAGACTACTTAACAAGAATTTAAATTTATTAAGTCATTTAGTGAAACTTATATTATTTACCAAAGTAACTGATAGAATTTTTAACTAGAGTTGAACAGTTTAAGAGGGATGAAATCATGCTACATGAATTCTTTGCTTGTTTAACTGAGAAACAAAGCTTTAACACTGATGTTTAATCAATCTCAATGACTTATGAGAGTGATTTCAGTGACAAAGCGACAACTTCTTGAAGCCGGTCTCTCAGAGTTTTTTATGATACGGTTTTGATGTTTTGGTCTGAAAGATGGGAATCTGTAAGGTGGTGTGACATTTATAAAGTCAACATTTTCTTGGCTTTTTCTTCGTTGATGAGAAGGCAGCATCGCTTTAAATGCTGGTTGTATTGGTGGAAACACGACTGCCGTCACCACCCTCTACAATCAGCTGTACGACCCGCTCCCTGATCTTCAGTTTCCGCTTTTAGCCTTGCCGTTCTCCAACGGACCTTCCTGGCATGGAAGGCCATCAAGCAGTATTCGTTTCAGCCAACTTAGCTAGGTTAAATCAGTACAATAAGCAAGCCCAACTATGACGTCAGTTTGGCAGCTCTAGTCGAGCTGATGTTTACAACAGACTATAGAGTTTAAGTCACCAGCCAGCGTCCTATCACAAATATTATGATAAATTACTCATTCATTCTGTATGGTGTGTTTTTGGATCCATAGATGGCGATAATCAGCTAATGACAATAAGCTCAGACTACACGACCCTTAACACTCATTATCATAATTATCGGCGACCTCCAAAATAAAACTACTTCTGTTTTGATGTCAAAAGTTAAAGCTACTACAATGTCACACAAAGAGGTGTAATAACATTTACTTGGTTTTAACAGGTCGACACCGGAAGCCTGAATCTGCAGAGAAAATTTTTTCATCCAACTAATGATTGTGAATATGCTTAAAAAATTTTTTAATGTTTCTTGGCTAACCTCCCATCAATATATCAACTACGAATAAAGAGATCTATGTTTCTTTGTGAAGTATACAGTTTACCCTTTAGAGATGGCGGAGAAAATTTGTAGCTCATTTAGATAATTGTGGTGGTGTTTCGTTCTCTGAGCTGAATGTTTTGCTTGTGGGACTTTAATTGTTCTTCTGAACAACATCATCGTCATAATTTGAAATTTGAGTATTTCACTTCTGCCTTAAGTTTTTACCGCCGGACAATCCAATAAGACTTAATTATTTTTATTTCACCTTTTAATATTTACAGGAAATCTCAAAATGGTTTAGTTAACTCAGCAACAACTAATTATTTAAATATAAAACAAGAGGAAGATGAAGAATCTATCATTGTATCAAATAATTCAGAATTTGTAATGTTATCAAATATTAGTTTAAATAATGGTTTTATGATATTACGACGTATTGCAAATCATCCATTTTTAACCATTGAACGACCGTCATCGTCATCACACACAAAATTATCAAACAGTTTTAATAGTGATTTAAATCTAGATTTCAAAGGAAATGAAGCTTCTTGCATGCTGACATTTGAACAGAAAGAATTAATTGAATCTAGTGGCAAGACATTGTTGCTTGATCGTCTTCTTCAAAAACTCATCAAATCGGGACACAAAGTAAGAGTTTAAGATAGAAAATATCAACAAGTAATATTGAAATACTTCTCTCTCTTTATAGTTTAATTCTTTAAGTTGTTATAATAAATCGCTCAATTTGTGATAGAGTTACGTTCCGTGACTCTTTTGATCCTCTTAACGTTATTGAATTATTCGGTAGACATTCAAAAGCTACTCCGACAAAATATGATCTATCCACAACAGTGGAGTTGACTTAAACCTCATTATGATGAGTATAATTGTTCAGTCTGATTTTATTAGTAATGTTTTGTCAAGGATGTTTCATGATTGGTCAATCAGAAGCGATCATAACTTTGGACGATGGTTATACTTGGTCTTTACACCTAAATCTTTTTGTTGTGACTGTGTTGAACTAGAAGTAGGGCTCAGCACTATAGTGACCCGCGATCTGACTTTTCTTTGAGCTGACGGTTGAGTATGTGATGAAATAAATCTTTCCTTTAATATCTTTGATGAACTCTTTTTGTGTGACGATGGCAATCCGAGGCCAAACACGGTTTTACAGATGAATTTATTTCATTCGATCCTTCACACGGGCTGACATGAAAATGAAAAGCGTGCAAGCAAAGTTAAGGGAAACGGAAAAGGCGAGCGAGCCAGCTCAATGCGATGAAGCAAAGTAAGCATGTTTAACTAAAATCGAATATTGACAACCAAGAGCTTTAACATTTGAGACTTTTATAAAATTTCAGCCTTGGATATTACACTATATTACAGTTATATCCCTAATCAGTTTTATATCACAAAAATCATTTGTTACTCAAATGTTATTAAGTAGTTACAGTATAAATCACATGTTCTAAGCGATGTAAACATGTGAACTCACTCGATGAACAACAATCAAGATGTACGCGAATAATTGTTAAGGTCGTAAGAAGAGTGAATGATGACTTGGGCTCAAAAGGTTAGTTAGTTAGTTAGTTTGGCCGAAAGCTAGGACAAGCCATGTGGGCTCAACATATTAATGCATTTACTACACCGTCAAACTACATAAATTAAGCTCATGAAGAAGCATTGTGATACCATTCTTGAAATGAGTCTGTGATTGAAACGTTCTAATAGTTATATATCTATGTGTGAGTTGATTTTATGAGGATAATCAGACATCTTATGTATGATAAAACTGTAAAAATTAGCTTAGCAATCATCAAATTAAGAATAAATTAATTAAAACATGTCTACTACATGCACACATGTATGCTTTCTTTCTCTAATGAATAAATACCTTTATGCCCAATGGATATGCAAACTGAACTACCAATCTTTCTATTGAAAATGTCAGGAAATTAGTGAAATCTTGTAAACTGATTATAATGATAACATACTAAAGAAAATAGCTGATTTCAATTGGATCGAATATTTCCGTGCAGTTCACACAGATCTCAAGAGTGTGGAAAGATGAAAATAATTTTACAGTTTTCATGACTTTACACATTGAAATTATCATTTATTCAATCAACCATTGTTAGACCGCCATTAGAAACCTGGAAGCACTGGACGGCCATTTTGTTCTGGTTTGTAAAAACACTGTATTGATGAAAACATGAAATTTACATGATATATTCGTATAAAAAGTTTCGTATCTGGATGAGTTCTGTTGAACTATATGTTTGAATGACGTCAGTGAACCCACATATGACAAAAATAAAACGGCAAGTCAGACGAAAAACTATTGAGTAAACATGGGGATTTTCATTCCACAGTAATGAAAATTGTTGATTTTCATCAAACTCGTGAACTGATCATTGGTAAACCAACACTCAAAACCTGGAAACACTAAACGAACATTTCTTCCTGATATGGGACTCATCAACAGTGTGCATTCATGACCCGCGCCTGCCGAAGTCGGACCCAAGACCTTAGGTCTTGCACGCGAACACTTAACCTCTAGACCACTAACTATAACCATTCCAAGGTATTGTGCAATTTCACTCGTTGTCTCCGGTGGGTAACCGGTTACACACGTCAAAGTTATGGCTTCTCATTAAAACTGTTGAGGACGTTAGATCAACAGAACTCACTTGATAAAGGTCCTAATTTTGGATTTTACGCTTTCGTGCAAAGGCTGATTAGTTGACCTTGAGATTATATTTTCCACCCGAAAAATCTTTGACTATCGTTGATTGATGTATTATTTTAGTATGCTATTCTTGTGGCTCTCCCAAGGAGATTTCTATCATGTATAAATAAACTCGAATTGTGTGCTTGCGAACCTCATATTTTATTGGTACTTGTATAATACGCTTTCTACGTCTCGTCAAGTTTTCTTCCTCTACTTAATGGGGCCTTAGGACGCTCGGATTAGAGTAGCCTATCGTGTAACTGGATCATTTGTCTTCGCTGTCGTTTACCGACTAGGGTGAACCCGCAATAGTATTCAACCATATCAACTGACGAGCATATCAAAAACTGAGAATTTTCTCACGAAACTAGTCATTAGTGAGCTATTTTATTCCATTAAACCAATTCAGTTTCATTGTGATGCTTATTTTACTGACACCGATTATTTGAATAACATCATTTTCTCCTCTTTGTTAGTCGGTGGTATCCACTCTGTATTCTATAGTAAATTGATCCATACAAGTTAGTTAATTTTTAGTTTACAAATTAAAATATCTATAAAAACGATTCTTTATATCTCCTCTATTTTGTCTGTTTGTTTGTTTTTCTTCTACACCTATAATAGGTCGTAATTTTCTCTCAATTCACAGCAATCTTAGATTTATTAGAAGAGATGTTCGATGCACGATTATGGTCTTATGTTCGATTAGATGGTTCAACTAGATTGAATGATCGTCAAGATGCTATACGTCGTTTTAATGATGAAAGCATTGAACAATTACCAATATTTTTAATATCAACAAAAGCTGGTGGTTGTGGTATTAATTTACAAACAGCTGCAGATACTGTCATAATATTTGATTCTGATTGGAATCCACAAACCGATTTACAAGCTCAAGATCGGTAAGGCTTTTTACTTATGTATATATTGTCGATATAAACTTGAGTTGACTTCGAAAAAAACAGCTGAATATTTTTAATGTGATTAGAAATCTGCAAGACATATAGGTGTTTTTCATGTTACAGTTATAGAATTCCATAATTTGCATGCTTTTTATAAGTACTGGAAATTCACAACTGCTTGCTTTTTACAAATTATGTGATAACAGCCATTGAAAAGAAAACATTTGAATTCCTTAACATGCAATTTTTAAAAATTATTTTTCTGAGCGAACATCAGGAAAAAAAAATTTACAGATTAGCATTCAGTGTTTGTTCTGGGTGATTTGATACGCCAAAACAAATGCTAGAGAAGACAACCAGTGCAGTAGCAGCCTCTGAAGCACCAGGTTTCAACATACACAAAGGGGAAAGCAAGATTCTTCGATACAACACAACATTCGCCAACAAAATCACTCTTGATGGCAATGTAATGGACGACGTTAACACCTTTACTTATCTGGGCAGCATCATTGACAAGCAAGGTAGATCCGATGCAGATGTAAGGGCGCGGATCGGCTAAGTAAGGTTTGTATTTCTAAAACTGAACAACATCTGAAAATAAAAACAACTATCAGTCAACACTAAAATCAAAATTTTCAATACAAATGTAAAGACAATTGTACTGGATTGGGCGGGAACTTGGAAAACTACCAAAGCCATCATTCAAAAGATACAAGTATTTATCTGTTGGCCAGACACTATCAGTAGCAACCTACTATTGGAAAAAACAAACCAGATTCCAGTGGAGTAGGAAATCAGGAAGAAGCGCTGCAGGTGGATATAACAAACCATGCGGATAGCACCACAATACGTCACAACACAAGCTCTCACTTGGAACACTCAAGGTAAAAGAAAAAGAAGATGACGAAGGAACACATTACGCCGAGAAACGGAGAAAGACATGAAAAGAAGGAGCGAAAATTGGACAAAACTGGTAAGAAAGGCTGAGGACAGAGTAGATTGGAGAAAACTAGTCGGTAGCCTATGCTCCATTGGGGTTAACAGGATTAATTAATTAAGTAAGTAAGACAAATTTGATGGAAAGAATAAGGAGAAAATCTTCAAAATAGTTTATTTTAAATGTTATAAGTAATCTATTGCTTTGAACAAAACACGTTAACCATTTCACATGCTTACAAAATAAACTAAACAGTTGAGAAAGAAAATTATTTTATGGTAAGTTACCTGTTGAATAAATTACATAAAAATCACCTGGATGATTTGAATACTTCGACTAGTTTGTTATTGTTGTTTTACATATATTTCTATTTTTTTTCACAAATTGACATTGATATAGTCAACTAATCAAAAGTGATCGGATGAGAAGACCATATACTGGTCATCTAAAATGTTCTATTAAACAAATACATGGTCAAGACATGGGTCCACTTTATAAAGGAGTGAATTACATATATATATATATATATATATATATATATATATATATATATACATATATATATATATATATATATATATGCATATTTATATATATATATATATAGACTAGTATTTTTATAACTTATTCGGTAATCAAATAGTCCTCTCTTCCAGAATTGCCTGACTGATTACACTTGCCTTATCGCCGATTAAGTTAGTATCGGAGTTAACACGTATCACATTCAGATCTCGTACACTGCACACCATAGCAGACACGTGTAAGTTTATTAATTGTGTAATTGTTGTATAGATTTTCCGTCGAGCGCTCTTTGTCTAATATACCTTCTCTAATTATATTGTCTTTTTGGTGACATATGAAGCGAATGGAATTGTTAAGGTCGCTCTTATAAACTACGTGTTTTAAGGAAAAATTTAAGTTCATACGGATATTTATTAGATAATCAATAGCAGGCACAGACTAAAATCACGCCTTGATTTGATATTCCTTATCTTTTTGATTTCAGTATAGTTTTGTTTACAATGAAAATAATAAATATATATTTCAGCTTAATAATGATAATACTAATAATAACAAAGATATAGAGGATAGTGTTTTTCATTTGAAATCAGGGAACTGATCATTTTTAGATTACCCTTCGAAACGTGGAAACCCTGAATGGCCATTTCGTCATAGTATGTGACTCATCAACAACAGTACGCATCTATGACCCCTGCTCACAGGAATCGAACTCAGCTTGTCGGTCTGGAGTATGAACGCCTTATTTCTGGACCTCTGAGCTGGTATCCAATGATGTTAATGTTTTACTCTGATCAATCTAAAGATTTCGTGCAACCTAACACATTGTCTTCGATGGGTACTGCCTACACTCGACAGGACGGAACACCACTGGTCACGTCTTCTTACTAGCACTCCGAGAATTTCCTCACAATGCTGGTAACTGATGAGCACTGAAGTGTACCAGGCTAAGGTGACCAGACTAATAAATACATATTTCACCCTAATAATCGTAACAATCATAAATTGAGACCGAAAGTGAATTTCTCATGTTTACATTGAATTCTATGTCAGCTTCGTATAATGTTACAGCCATCATATAACTGCCAAGTATTTCTAATTCGATTTCTTTTTGATTTCTTACCAAATTGATGTTAACTTCTTTTTTCCATTCAATATCAATCCTTTCTATATCATGTTTAAAGATGTTATAGGATGGTTTTTCTAAAAAAAAAATGGATATTGTAAACGATCATAGTAACTGGAAGCATAAGTTTCAATTCATTTTCATATCGAACTTCATTGAAACGATGTTCTCTCTGTCCGTGGATAAATAAATGTCAAAACTATCAACATGTGTTCAATGAATGAGTACATGTTGCTAGGACCAACTCAGTTATCTTGTTATTATATTTACTACAGTTATTTAGGTTTTTATTCATATCTTCCTCTTAAAAACACAGTAATGTTTCATTTGATATGAAACACTTTCAAAATAAATTATTCTTCTCAAATTTACATCTTTAAATTAACATTTGAGACTTTTATAAAATTTCAGTCTTAAATAATACACTATATTGTAGTTACATCCCTAATCACTTTTATATCACAAAAATCGTTGGTTACTCAAATTTTAATAAGTAGTTACAATATGAATCGTAAACATGTGCACATCATCCGTTCACTGAATTGAGAAATGATGTAGTTAAACGTTGTTAGTCAAATTTTTAAGATCGTACGATACATATTGACTTTAGTTTTATTATATTTCCATGATTTATCCGAGTCGATGTGACTAATTACTGAAATTATCACCATTCATATCTAAATGTTTCCATTTTTATCTTGAGAAAATAAGTTCTTTCTAAACAAAGTTTTATTAACTTTTAAAGTTCATTAAGCTGTATGAGGCTACGTGAACACTAGTTTAATTTTTCACATTTCAATTTCATTTTGATTTTGTGCTACATTATATTTTTTGAACCTAGTTATAAATGTTTAACGTGATCTACACAATTCACGTATTACAACTCTTGAGATATTATTGAGAGATATCGTATACTGCTTTGTACTCATTAATAAAATAAACTTATTCTTTCTCTTTATCGAATCAAGTAAATAAAATTACACAGATAGGCAAGATATCGATAGAAGTTGATCTACAATCGTACACTTTTTATATTTATCATGCCTTATTCTTCATATAATCTATTATAACACGATACAATTGTGATGGGGTTTTTCATTCTCTGAGATGGATATTTTAGTTGTGGAGATTTCAGTTTCCTTGCGAATACCTTTATTGACAAAAGTTTCACTCAGAAGTTAAATATTCGAAATTTTCCAAGTATGACTCGTAGTTTGTCCTGTAGACCTTAAACCTTTCACTGTCTGCACCTTTATTTTCATTGTATCCCTCTTTGATCTGTTGCTTGATCCTGTGTTAGTGTACGATTTTTCTGATTGAATGATAAATTGGATCATTGTCGATGTGTTTGTTGATTGCTTTTGACTTGCGTGCCTTGCTTCTAGTGATGTTTGTACTCTCTTTACCTCGAAATTTCAACACTGTTCCAATCGAATTTCTGTCCATAGTTGTTCATATGATTTGATGTAAGAGAAGAAATGTCATGGCATTTGACTGTTGATTGATATTCACGTAGACGAATGTGAAGAGGACGTCCACAATGTCCTATGTAGTGTTTTTCACAGCCTGAGCAATTTATTTCATGGATGATATTTGGTTTTTCTTCCTTTGTCGTTTTGTCCTTTGGTCTACGTAGGATTGATTGAAGTGATTCTTTTGGTTTAGTAGCTACACCTATTTCAAACGGCTTCAGTAATCTTGCTGCGATTTCCATTATCTCTTGTATATAACAGAATGATGCATTTGCCGGTTCCTGTACTTGATTTTGCTTCTGTTGATGGCTTCAGTTGATATCTTTTTATGAAGTTCTGTGAATTTCAGCCCTTCTGAAACATAGTCATCAGATAATTTTCTTAATTTTTTTCCTGCTTCATTTGTGCTGCAGTATGTTTTCGATCTCTTGAACAAAAGTTTGTACTTAGTCGGTTTTGCCAATTATATGCAATGGCCTAATAAATTTCATCTTTATTCTCTACTCACATAGTTGTCATCGAATTGGACAAACGAAACCTGTTCTTGTTATTCGTTTAATTACAAATGAATCAGTTGATGAAAATATTTTACAACGATCTCAAACAAAACGTTGGTTAGAACGTTTACTTCTGAATCATCGTATATCGAATGTGAATCCTTCATTGTATGACAAATCATTTAGCAAGGATTGTCAATCGTATCAATTAACTACTGATCCTACTACTACTACTAATAATAATAATAATGATGAAGATGATGATGATGATGATAGTAATAATGAGAAGGTATGTTTATTTAAATGTGATCATAGGGATATTTCGACTAAATTATTGTCTTAAAATTGTATTTCTCAGAAAGTGAGAACATTCTAGGTTGTGATGTGCAAAGTGACTTCAGGTATTCGCATCCAGTTTGTACTTCGAAAATGATTTTCGAAGTTGGCTTCAAGTTTACGATATATATCAAAAATTGTACTGCTTCTCGTATTGTCTTGTCTAAACAAAATTGATTGATGATCCATAAGTCTTTCTGACTATTGCATTATGTACGTGATGGTTTTGGTGAATATTAGATTTCCAGATATGTTTCTGGCTGCTACAAACCTTAGAGAAATAAATGTACTTTCTAAATTGAATCATTTATTCTCAATAAATAATTTACAATCTATAGAATATCTATTGTAAAAGTACTGTAATTAATACATTCAGCATTAGAGACTGAAATTAATCAAACGATTCAAACGGCAACTCATTGCACAAGCGAATAGCTAACCTTCTTTGATAGGTCATGAGGACAATCGATGGCATTGAAAGCTAATGTTGTGGGATTCGAGTCATAGGATGAATGTGAACAGATGCTTCCAAATGATGAATCTCAATCGCAATTTGGTCAGTACACGATCGATCCTTACGAAATCCAGCCTGTTGATCTCGAAGTTGGGCGTCTACGAAGTCCTTCATTCTGTTTAACAATACTCTGTTGAAAAATTGCCTGGTACTGAAAGCAGAGTGATGCCTCCGTAGTTCTCACACTTGCTCAGGTCGCCTTTCTTTGGTATTTTGATGAGGTATCCTTCTTTCCAATCTGATGGTACTTGTTCCTCATCCCAAATCTTCTTGAGGAGGATGTCAAATATTTTCGCAGTTGCTTCTACATCTGCTTTCATTGCCTCTGCTGGAATGTTGTCTGGTCCTGCTGCCTTGCTGTTCTTGATTTGTCTGATGGCCATACTGATCTCCTCAATTGTAGGTGAGCCAATAATAATTGGGAGGTTCGTGGATGGTGCTTCGATGTTGGGTGTCTTCAGAGGAGCTGGTCGATTTAGGAGTTCCTTAAAGTACTCTACCCACCTATTTCGCTGTTCTTCAGTGTTGCTGATTACTTTGCCTTCCTTACGTTTCTCTGGTTGTTCTGGATTACGATAGTTACCGGCCAGCTTCTTTGTTGTTTCGTACAATTGTCTCATGTTTCCTTCTCTTGCAGCCTTTTCCGCCGTCATTGCTAGATCTTCCAGATATTTTCGTTTGTCAGCTCTGATGCTCTTCTTCACTTCCCTGATTGCTTCTGTGTATTCAGCTTGTGCAGTGACTTTCTCTGCTCTTGTTCGGCTGATATTGATTGCTGCCTTCTTGTTCCTCCTTTCTTCAATGTTTGCAAGAGTATCAACAGAGATTCATTCCTTATGATGGTACTTCTTGTGACCCAGAACTTCGTAACATGTTGAAGTGATTGCTTCCTTAATCCCTTTTTAATAGTTCTCCAATTTTGTGTCCTCTCCATTGACTAGATCCTGAAAGGCCCGTAACCTATTGGTGAGGGCTATCCTGAATTCTTTGAGCTTTACATTATCCCGAAGAAAGGCCGTATTAAACTTGTGTGATGTTGTCTGTCCCGTTGTCCAGTGCTTCTTTAGTTTCAGTTTCATTCTGGCGATCAGCAAATGGTGATCTGAGGCTACATCAGCTCCTCTCCTGGTTCTCACATCCTCCATAGTCCTTCTGAACGTTTTGTTGATACAGATATGATCAATTTGGTTTCTAGTAGTGTGGTCAGGGTGAAATCCATGTGGCTTTGTGTATGCGTTTGTGCGGGAATATTGTGCCACTGATGACCAGTTTTTTGAAGGCACATAGGTTTGCAAATCTCTCACTATTTTCGTTCCTTTTCCCCAGTCCATGTCGTCCCATGATGTCTTCATATCCAGTGTTGTCCATTCCAACCTTGGCATTCAGGTCTCCCATAAGAATCGTCAAATCCTTTGGTGAACATTTCTCGACGATTGACTGCAGCCTTTCGTAGAATTGATCTTTATCGTCGTCATTGTAGTCATTGGTAGGTGCATAACATTGGATGACGTTCATTATAATGTCCTCTTTCTTTGTTTTGAAGGATGATTTGATGATCCTCGGTCCATGAGATTCCCATCCTATTGGCGTCTTTTGTGCATGTTTGGACAGCATCAGTGCAACTCCTTGTGTGTGTGAAGCATTGTCCTCTTCATGACCAGAGTATAACAGCAGTTCCCTTGAAGCTAGTCTCAGTTGTCCTACTTGAATCCAATGTGTTTCACTGATTCCAAGCACCTCGAGGTTGTATCTTTTCATTTCTGCCGCAACTTGAAATAGTCTTCCAGTCTCCCACAATGTACGAACGTTCCATGTACCTAAAAAATTGGTTGCTCTGGTTGTCAGAAGAGGTATCGGCCTCGTGACTTCCGAGGGAACTCGGCTTTCATCACGCGACGTCATAATTCTTCCTCCAATTCCCAGGGCAAAGTTAAAGTAGTTTGGATTATTCTGTCTGCTTAGTGTTTTCTTGGCAATTTAGATTTCGATGGAATGGGGTCGCCAACCCCATGTCCAACCCTCTTCCTTTACCCGGGCTTGGGACCGGCAGTAGATTCGAAGGTTCTACTGGCGGAGTTATAATATAAACTTAAAGGGATAATAAATATAAAAAGTGTACGATTGTAGATCAACTTCTATCGACATCTTGCCTATCTGTGTAATTTTATTTACTTGATTAGAAAAAGAGAAAGAATAAGTTTATTTTGTTAATGAGTACAATACAGTATACGATATCTCTCAATAATATCTCAAGAGTTGTAATACGTGAATTGTGTAGATCACGTTAAACATTTATAACTAGGTTCAAAAAATATAATGTAGCACAAAATCAAAATGAAATTGAAATGTGAAAAATTAAACTAGTGTTCACGTAGCCTCTTACAGCTTAATGAACTTTAAAAGTTAATAAAACTTTGTTTAGAAAGAACTTATTTTCTCAAGATAAAAATGAAAACATTTAGATATGAATGATTACAATTTAAGCAATTAGTCACATCGACTCGGATAAATCATGGGAATATAATAAAACTAAAGTCAAGATGTATCGTACGATCCTAAAAATTTGACTAACAACGTTTAACTACATCATTTCTCAATTCAGCGAACGGATGATGTGCACATGTTTACGATTCATATTGTAACTACTTATTAAAATTTGAGTAACCAACGATTTTTGTGATATAAAAGTGATTAGGGATGTAACTACAATATAGTGTATTATTTAAGACTGAAATTTTATAAAAGTCTCAAATGATAATTTAAAGATGTAAATTTGAGAAGAATAATTTATTTTGAAAGTGTTTCATATCAAATGAAACATTACTGTGTTTTTAAGAGGAAGATATGAATAAAAACCTAAATAACTGTAGTAAATATAATAACAATAAAACTGAGTTGTTCCTAGTAACATGTACTCACTAATTGAAAAATAAATGTTAATAGTTTTGACATTAATTTACCCTCCCACAGAGAGAATATCTTTTCAATTAATTAGGATATGAAAGTGGACTGAAAATTACTACGATTATTCACAATAGCCTTCATTTAGAAATAAGACAGCTGTAAAATTACATGGAACTAACATAGAATTCAATATAAACATGAGAAATTCACTTTCGGTCTCAATTTATGACTGTTACGATTATTAGGGTGAAATATTCATTCGTTGGTCTGGTCACCTTAGCCTGGTACACTTCAGTGCTCACCAGTCACCAGCATTGTGAGGAAATTCTCGGAGTGCTAGTTAGAAGACGTGACCAGTGGTGTTCAGTTCTGTCGCGTGTAGGAAGTTACCACTGAACACAATGAATGGGTTAGGTTGCACGAAATCTTTAGATTGATTAGAGTAAAACATTAACATCATTGGATACCAGATCAGTGGTCCAGAAATCAAGCCTTCATAAGCCAGACCGAATGTCTGAGTTCGATTACTGCGAGCAGGGTTCATAGATGTGTGCTGTTGTTGATGAGTCGCATACTTGGACGAAGTGGCCGTCAAGTGTGTCGACGTTTCGAACGGTTATCTAAAAATGATCAGTTCTCTGATTTCAAATGAAAAACACTATCCTCTATATCTATGTAATCAATAGTATTATTATTATTGAGCTGAAATATATATTAATATATTATTTTCATTGTAAACAAAACTATACTGAAATGAAAAAGATAAGGAATATCAAATCAAGGCGTGATTTTAGTCTATGCGTGCTAATGATCATCTAATAAATATCCGTATGAACTTAAATTATTCCTTAAAACACGTAGAATAGAATAACGATCAATTGACATTTTTTTCTCACACTAATTTTAACTTCAATTCATCTACAAACACAATGTATCATGTTTAAAAAAAAACAACTTTTTTATATTCATTGAACTGGTTTGTCAAATGTACATAACATGATGGTATAATATACTGACAAATCTAAGCGACCTGTAAGTTATTCAAAATCATCAACTAATTAGGAATCAATTAATTGAAAACGAAAAATAAACAACAATCGGACGGTAGCTTACATCTCAGTATTTACCATTTCACAAGTCGAATTTCATGTATTGACAGAAAAAGGCTAAATTTACATGCAATTTCCTCTTTTTCTTCGCATTCTAAAGACCAAACAGTAACAATTATTTTTCATCCTCGATCATAACACGAAAGACAAACTCTGATTTTCGCGCGGAGCGTAACCTTGATTATGATTGGCTAAACCAAAGCTGCTCGTATATGTTACTCTTATACTTAATTAATTTTTATTTTAAAAAAACGTTTGTAAGAATAACATTTTAAACTGTGTATGCACTAAACAATTATTGTTAATTAAACGAAAACACTGTATAAAATATCCGTTTTTATACAGTCGTACAGTTTCGTGGATGAAATTGCTGAGATAGGTTAAATTTGTTGAACTACTCTTTTCATTTGCGATTTTATTGGGTGTTTTTAAATTTATGTTTCTTTGAAACAAAACTCATTCGATTATTATGATGTTGAATGTGGAACAACATTCAAGTCATAGTCACCTACAATTGAAAGTAAGATCGGTAACTGAAAAAGTAGTGTTTATATTGGTTACTAAATTTGAAATAAAATTAATTTTTTTGGTAAGAACAAAAAACATCATAACGTTTAATCACACAAGAATCGGTTTATAAAAAGCCTTGAAATTAGTTTTTTAACATTGAAAACAAAATTGTAAACAAACAAACAGCAATAGAAATTAAGAGTCATTTTCACAATAAGTCAATCCTTGTCTATTCTTCTTGTATAATATTCGCAGGTTGTCTAGGGTTTGATCACTTAATTTGTTTACAATTTGATCTATTTCATTTTTGTCTGACTCAATCAACTGATCATTGAAAGATTCGTTATGACGAGAATCGTCACAATCGGTTTGTTGTTCATTGTGCTGTTCGTTGAATGATTTATTTTACAAAATGCTTAATTCTTCTTTTTCTTTTCTTTAGACAAACAATCGAATGAATAAATTCAAAATAAACCGTCCAAATGCCGAAGAACACTTTCAAACCATACAATTGATCGATGATCAATTATATGAGCAAGCGAATTTGACAAAATCCGAATTGATTGATTTGTTAAAACAAATTGATTATTCAACTAGTAATAATAATAATGTCACTGATGCTTGTTCTTTAACTGATGACGAATTGAATAAACTATTAGATAGGTAATTTCTATTTGATTTGATAGTTTTATTGGACATTTTGTAATAAGTTTACGTTTTATGTCTAGTTCCAGGATTACATCTTACCTATAATATTATGTAAATTGAATATTTAAATCACTATTATAGATCCAAACAACTCTATACTGTTAAATACTTGATTACATTAAGAATTTCTATTATTGGCAGTTCATTGATTGTTATCTTTACTGTTTGAAATAATTGTTCTCATTTCTATGATCAAAATATGCTAAACATCAGATGCGTGGCCGTAGATGTATGTTATTTATGAAGCTCTAGCATTATAATCTGTTTACAAACATAAGAGTTCTATTCGAATGAACTGAATACTGTTTAAGAATGAAATGATGTTGATAGTATGCTGATAGTGTCCAAAAAAAGTGATTCATATATATGTATATTACCATTTTGATCTGTTAATCAATCACTTAGAAATTCCTGGTTCTCATATTTCAGGTCATTTTGTTACTACACAGTTGATATTGAACCAAAGTATTTGTTTTTTGTCCCAAGTTTAAGTGTATTTAACATTCTATTTTCATTATTGAATAATAATAATTGTTTGTGGAGAGGGACAATTTTTATCTATTGATTCCTATGCAGTTTAATATGATAGTGAATACTAGGTAAAGTAATATTTATTCATTGGTCATTTGTATTTTCTAAATCAATCCATTTGGTGTACAAGTATGAATAACAGAGCAACTGATTGATTTTCCACTCTCTGGTTTGTGACAAATCAGTTATGTTCATCTATGACCACATTATGTATTAAACCGTGAAATTGTAGCTCTTATAGGGAGGATTTAATCAGTGCATCTATCATAATTCAAGAGGCAATCCGAACGTCAATCAAATTTTGGTTTAGCCTGACGATCGATCACCTCATAAGTGTTTCACTCCTAATATGAGATTATTGCCTACAAATTAGGCTTATTTCTACAAACGTGTTGAAGCGAAAAGTGCAAAGGTTGACTGGTTTTTCTAACTACAACCGTAGCTCATATTTTCAATCACCAATCGTTGTATTTGATAGGTTTTGCAACTTTACTCGCTGTACGATAATGAATATACTGTTTCAACTAATTACATAACTGTATAGTTTACTGAGACTTTTTGGAGTGTGAGCAAACTTTTATTAAAAATCGCATGGAACATGTTATTCTAGCTGTAAAAGATACTTCTATAGGCAAGAATACTCATGAACAATGAACTTGGCGTTTTTGACTGTTATTATGTTTGTATGCATGATTTTAAATGATGGTGAATGTAACTCACATGCTGGCATTTGAGTTGTGTGCATCAGAGTGTCATCTGAAAGTTGTCACCAGAGAGGAGTATCTAGGACTGAAATCCGAGCCACTGTGAGACTACATGGAATGAATGTAGAGAAGATTGATGTTAGAGAAGACAGTCATAAGCCTGCTTCTATTGCAAATGGATGTTCGAAGATGTGTGTACATATTTTGTCTTCTCTAAGTATATGTATTTCATCTAGTTCCGACGTCTTTACTCGATTACAATATAAAATATTTGTTCTCCTTCATAATGAATAAAAGCTTAGAGATTTCATTATTGAATCGAAATCGAATTACGATTTGTTTGATTGAGAATTTCATCAACTCACTCAGTTCTTGAGTGTAGCTGTATCTATATTTGGATCTCAGCAGACTGGTAATCAATTAGTCACTGTAATACTCAAGTGTTCTCTAGTTTGCGTACTGTTGTGTCAAGACCATAGGGCTTGCCTCTGAACCTTTGAACAATTTAATCAATCCAATTTTACCGAGTAATTATTCACTTGCATTTTGACTTTGTCAATTATTCGAGTGTGTGTGTGTCCGCTTATTTCGCATATCGCATGTCTGGCCTATTTCTGTCTGACTGAAAATATGAAGTCATGCTTCGTCTTACTGAGTTGGCTCCGTCGCCTACTCCGCTTTACTCCACCTCACTTTACTTGTACGCCTTTCATTTTCATGTCTGCCTGTATAAAATATTGCATGAAATAAATTCATCCGTAAAACCGTGTTTGGATTCTTACTACCACCGTCAGCCAAACAGGATTTACCAAAGAATGATATACGGAAAGTGAAAGCAAAATTTATTTCATCACATACTCGACTGTCCACCCGAAATGGAATCGAATCGCGGATCACTCTAAGTGATGAGTCTTACTTGGAATCTATCTCGGCCACAGTCTACAAGTTTTTAGCTAAGTGTGGCTATCCTAGTTGTCCATCTGTAATCAACCTAAACATAAACAGGCGATGTTGATTCAGTCAGACTAGACAGCTTAATCAAATCATCAAGTATTTTGTATCTTTAAATTTCTGTAGAATGATTATTTTTTTTTGTAAAAAAGTTATATCGGAAACTAGATCATATTTCATTGTGTAACATTGTGTAAACCGGTGAGTACACACTCTATTTTCATTTTGAACTTTGGACACTTTGTTTGTCATTAGATTATTTGATCAGTGTAGAATTTAAATGCGTAATGTGGTCACGTGACAAAAATAAGTTTATTTTAAACTAGTCATTGAGATTTCTCATTGTAATTTGTTTTTATTTTTCACATAGATTTTATTCTATTCATGAATGTTAGTTTTTTTTGCTTCAAACATTTGTCATATGACTTTGACATTGATATCAATTTACGTGTGTTGTTCACATGATAGAATGATAGACAAATTTTCAAACACACTGGCCTCTCCATACATTGTGCTCTCTTTTAACTCAATAAATAAAAATTAATCTCATTCAGTGTATTTTATCCTATTTATTGTTGTCCTATCAAATTGTTTATTTCTAAATGCCTAGATCTGATCTTATTGAAGCTTGGACTAAACATACCAATAATGAACAACACATTGCGAATGCTACTGATCAACAACAAACCGATTGTGACAATTCTCGGCATAACGAATCTTTCAATGATCAGTTGATTGAGTCAAACAAAATTGGAACAGGTCAAATTGTAAACAAATCAAATGATCAAACCCTAGACAACCTGTGAATATTATACAAGAAGGATAGACAAGGATTGACTTATTGTGAAAATGATTCTTAATTTCTATTGCTGTTTGTTTGTTTACATTTTTGTTTTCAATGTTAAAAAACTAATTTCAAGGCTTTTTATAAACCGATTCTTGTGTGATTAAACGTTATCATGTTTTTTGTTCTTACCAAAAAGATTGATTTTCTCTCAAATTTAGTAACCAATATAAATACTACTTTTTCAGTTACCGATCTTACTTTCAATTGTAGGTGACTATGACTTGAATGTTGTTCAACATTCAACATAATAATAATCGAATGAGTTTTGTTTCAAAGAAACATAAGTTTAAAAACACCCAGTAAAATAGCAAATGAAAAGAGTAGTTCAACAAATTTAATCTTTCTCAGCAATTTCATCCACGACATTGTACGATTGCATAAAAACAGATATTTTACACAGTGTTTTCGTTTAATTAACAATAATTGTTTAGTGCATACACAGTTTAAAGTGTTATTCTTATAAACGTTTTTTTTTAAATAAAAATTAATTAAGTATAAGAGTTACATGTATGAGCAGCTTTGGTTTAGCCAATCATAATCAAGGTTACGCTCCGCGCGAAAATCAAAGTTTGTCTTTCGTGTTATAATCGAGGATGAAAAAAAATTGTTACTATTTGGTCTTTAGAATGCTTGAATAAAAAGAGAAAATTGCATGTAAATTTAGCTTTTATCTGTCAATACTTGAAATTCGACTTGTGAAATGGTAAATACTCAGGTGTAAGCTACCGTCCGATTGTTGTTTATTTTTCGTTTTCAATTAATTCATTCCTAATTAGTTGATGTTTTTTTGAATAACTTACAGGTCGCTTAGATTTGTCAGTATATTATACCATCATGTTATTTACATTTGACAAAACAGTTCAATGAATATAAAAAAGTTGTTTTTTTTTAAACATGATACATTGTGTTTGCAGATGAATTGAAGTTAAAATTAGTGTGAGAGAAAAAAATGTCAATTGATCGTTATTCTATTCTACGTGTTTTAAGGAATAATTTAAGTTCATTCGGATATTTATTAGATGATCATTAGCACGCATAGACTAAAATCACGCCTTGACTTGATATTCCTTATCTTTTTCATTTCAGTATAGTTTTGTTTACAATGAAAATAATAAATATATATATATTCATCTTAATAATCATAATACTATTGATTACAAAGATATAGAGGATAGTGTTTTTCATTTGAAATCAGGGAACTGATCATTTTTAGATAACCGTTCGAAACGTCGACACACTTGACGGCCACTTCGTCCAAGTATGTGACTCATCAACAACAGCACACATCTATGACCCCTGCTCGCAGTAATCGAACTCAGACATTCGGTCTGGCTTATGAAGGCTTGATTTCTGGACCACTGATCTGGTATCCAATGATGTTAATGTTTTACTCTGATCAATCTAACGATTTCGTGCAACCTAAAGGATTATCTTCAATGGTTACTGCCTACACTCGACAGGACGGAACACCACTGGTCACGTCTTCTTACTAGCACTCCGAGAATTTCCTCACAATGCTGATGACTGGTGAGCACTGAAGTGTACCAGGCTAAGGTGACCAGACTAACAAATCAATATTTCACCCTAATAATCGTAACAACCATAAATTGAGACCGAAAGTGAATTTCTCATGTTTATATTGAATTCTATGTTAGTTCCATGTAATTTTACAGCTGTCTTATTTCTAAATGAAGGCTATTGTGAATAATCGTAGTAATTTTCAGTCCACTTTCATATCCTAATTGATTGAAAAGATATTCTCTCTGTGGGAGGATAAATAAATTTCAAAATTACACAGACAGGCAAGATGTCGATAGATGTTGATCTACAACCGTACAGTATTTATATTTATCATGCCTTATTCTTCATATAATCTATTATAACACGATACAATTGTGATGGGGTTTTTCATTCTCTGAGATGGATATTTTAGTTGTGGAGATTTCAGTTTCCTTCCGAATACCTTTATTGACAAAAGTTTCACTCAGAAGTTAAATATTCGAAATTTTCCAAGTATGACTCGTAGTTTGTCCTGTAGACCTTAAACCTTTCACTGTCTGCACCTTTATTTTCATTGTATCCCTCTTTGATCTGTTGCTTGATCCTGTGTTAGTGTACGATTTTTCTGATTGAATGATAAATTGGATCATTGTCGATGTGTTTGTTGATTGCTTTTGACTTGCGTGCCTTGCTTCTAGTGATGTTTGTACTCTCTTTACCTCAAAATTTCAACACTGTTCCAATCGAATTTCTGTCCATAATTGTTCATATGATTTGATGTAAGAGAAGAAATGTCATGGCATTTGACTGCTGATTGATATTCACGTAGACGAATGTGAAGAGGACGTCCACAATGTCCTATGTAGTGTTTTTCACAGCCTGAGCAATTTATTTCATGGATGATATTTGGTTTTTCTTCCTTTGTCGTTTTGTCCTTTGGTCTACGTAGGATTGATTGAAGTGATTCTGTTGGTTTAGTAGCTACACCTATTCCAAACGGCTTCAGTAATCTTGCTGCGATTTCCATTATCTCTTTTATATAACAGAATGATGCATTTGCCGGTTCCTGGATTTGATTTTGCTTCTGTTGATGGCTTCAGTTGATATCTTTTTATGAAGTTCTGTGAATTTCAGCCCTTCTGAAACATAGTCATCAGATAATTTTCTTAATTTTTTTTCCTGCTTCATTTGTGCTGCAGTATGTTTTCGATCTCTTGAACAAAGTTTGTACTTAGTCGGTTTTGCCAATTATATGCAATGGCCTAATAAATTTCATCTTTATTCTCTACTCACGTAGTTGTCATCGAATTGGACAAACCAAACCTGTTCTTGTTATTCGTTTAATTACAAATGAATCAGTTGATGAAAATATTTTACAACGATCTCAAACAAAACGTTGGTTAGAACGTTTACTTCTGAATCATCGTATATCGAATGTGAATCCTTCATTGTATGACAAATCGTTTAGCAAGGATTGTCAATCGTATCAATTAACTACTGATACTACTACTACTACTACTACTTCTACTACTACTACTACTAATAATAATAATAATAATGATAATATTAATAATAATAATAATAATGAGAAGGTATGTTTATTTAAATGTGATCATACGGTTATTTCGACTAAATTATTGTTTTAAAATTGTATTTCTCAGAAAGTGAGAACATTCTAGGTTGTGATGTGCAAAGTGACTTCAGGTATTCGCATCCAGTTTGTACTTCGAAAATGATTTTCGAAGTTGGCTTCAAGTTTACGATATATATCAAAAATTGTACCGCTTCTTTTATTGTCTTGTCTAAACAAAATTGATTGATGATCCATAAGTCTTTCTGACTATTGCATTATGTACGTGATGGTTTTGGTGAATATTAGATTTCCAGATATGTTTTGTGTTCTTTCAATCCTTCGAGAAAAAAAAGTATACTTTCTAAATTGAATCATTTATTCTCAATAAATAATTTACAATCTATAGAATATCTATTGTAAAAGTACTGTAATTAATACATTCAGCATTAGAGACTGAAATTAATCAAACGATTCAAACGGCAACTCATTGCACAAGCGAATAGCTAACCTTCTTTGATAGGTCATGAGGACAATCGATGGCATTGAAAGCTAATGTTGTGGGATTCGAGTCATAGGATGAATGTGAACAGATGCTTCCAAATGATGAATCTCAAATTAAATGAACAGTGCATTATGAATTCCATTGCTAGTTAGCATCCATCTCTTCGGAAAATGCTTGTGACTTTATGGCGATACCGAAACAATCCGCACAGCATGCAAATTTAACAATAGTGGTTGTGAGCAAAGCAATTAGTCAGTCAGCTTCAATATAGAATTTCATATGTACGTATGTCAGTTCAAGTTGCCATAATACATTAGCAAAGAGAGAGATCGAATTGTCAATTTGAATCCCACAGTAGTATAAGTAGATGAAGTATTACCGATAATTGCGAAGATTATTCAAAAAGTATAATACAGTGAAATGAATTTAAAATGAGAAAAACACTGTCATGAGAAACTCAGAAGATTGCCATTTGAGAGAAAACTAAGATTTGATGCATTTTCACCATTGTAAAAGATTTAGAGCCATATCGTTCAAAGTCTCTGTTCATCTGGCAGACCCGAACAAGCTAGTCTACACTTACTAACATAGTTCAGTTCATTTGGAAACATCTAAACATTCAATATATATTGCTTTAATGTAAAGTCGTTTTGCTTTTGGCAAACAGTCATAGCAGATACAAGTTCATTATGCTGGTCGTTGAATGATTTCTTTTACTTACTTACTTACTTACTTACTTACTTACTTACTTACTTACTTACTTACTTACTTACTTACTTACTTACTTACTTACTTACTTACTTACTTACTTACTTACTTACTTACTTACTTACTTACTTACTTACGCCTGTTACCCACAATGGAGCATAGGCCGCCCACCAATTTTCTCCAACCAACTCTGTTCTGGGCTTCTCTCTCCAGTTCTGTCCAATGTTTGTTCATTCCTCTCATATCTTTCTCTATTTCTCGGCGTAGTGTGTTCCTTGGCCTTCCTCTTTTCCTTTTGCCTTGAGGGTTCCATGTGAGGGGTTGTCTCGTGACGCAGTTAGGTGCTTTTCGTTGTGTCCTATCCACTTCCATCGCTTCTTCCTGATTTCCTCCTCCACTGGAATCTGGTTTGTTCTCTCCCACAGTTCGTTGTTGCTGATGGTGTCTGGCCAACGAATACGAAGTATTTTGCGTAGACAGCTGTTAATAAACACTTGTATCTTGTGGATGATGGCTTTGGTAGTTCTCCAGGTTTGCACTCCATACAATAAAACTGTCTTCACATTTGTATTGAAAATCCTGATTTTGGTTTTGGTTGGTTGGTTGTTTGGATTTCCAGATATTTTTCAACTGTAGAAATGCAGCCCTTGCTTTGCCAATCCGCACCCTCACATCTGCATCGGATCCACCTTTCTCGTCGATGATGATGCCCAGATATGTAAAGGTGTTGACGTCCTCCAAGGCATCTCCATCAAGAGTGATTTGATTGGTGCATGTTGTGTTGCATCGGAGAATTTTGCTTTTTCCTTTATGTATGTTGAGACCTACTGCTGCAGAGCCTCCTGCTACACTGGTCGTCTTCTCTTGCATTTGTTGTTGAGTGTGCGATAGAAGAGCCAAGTCATCTGCGAAGTCCAGATCGTCCAGCTGCGTCCTAACTGTCCAGTTGATACCGTGCTTCCCTCCAGATGTTGACGTCTTCATAATCCAGTCGATCATCAGGAGAAAGAGAAAGGGTGAGAGCAAGCAACCTTGCCTCACACCGGTCTTCATTTCCAAAAAGTCTGTTAACTGTCCTTCGTGTACGATTTTGCAGTTATATCCATCATAAGAATTCCGTATGATGTTAATTATCTTCTCAGGCACACCGTAGTGTCGTAGAAGCCTCTACAGTGTTTTCCTATCCACGCTATCGAATGCCTTCTCGTAGTCGATGAAGTTGATGTAGAGTGGTGAGTTTCATTCAATTGATTGTTCCACAATGATCCGTAATGTAGCGATTTGGTCAGTACATGATCGATCCTTACGAAATCCGGCCTGTTGATCTCGAAGTTGGGCGTCTACGAAGTCCTTCATTCTGTTTAACAATACTCTGTTGAAAAATTGCCTGGTACTGAAAGCAGAGTGATGCCTCTGTAGTACTCACACTTGCTGAGATCGCCTTTCTTTGGTATTTTGATCAGGTATCCTTCTTTCCAATCTGATGGTACTTGTTCCTCATCCCAAATCTTCTTGAGGAGGATGTCAAATATTTTCGCAGTTGCTTCCACATCTGCTTTCATTGCCTCTGCTGGAATTTTGTCTGGTCCTGCTGCCTTGCAGCTCTTGATTTGTCTGATGGCCATACTGATCTCCTCAATTGTACGTGAGCCAATATTAATTGGGAGGTTCGTGGATGGTGCTTCGATGTTGGGTGTCTTCAGAGGAGCTGGTCGATTTAGGAGTTCCTTAAAGTACTCTACCCACCTATTTCGCTGTTCTTCAGTGTTGCTGATTACTTTGCCTTCCTTACGTTTCTCTGGTTGTTCTGGATTACGATAGTTACCGGCCAGCTTCTTTGTTGTTTCGTACAATTGTCTCATGTTTTCTTCTCTTGCAGCCTTTTCCGCCGTCATTGCTAGATCTTCCAGATATTTTCGTTTGTCAGCTCTGATGCTCTTCTTCACTTCCCTGATTGCTTCTGTGTATTCAGCTTGTGCAGTGACTTTCTCTGCTCTTGTTCGGCTGATATTGATTGCTGCCTTCTTGTTCCTCCTTTCTTCAATGTTTGCAAGAGTATCAACAGAGATCCATTCCTTATGATGGTACTTCTTGTGACCCAGAACTTCGTAACATGTTGAAGTGATTGCTTCCTTAATCCCTTTCCAATTGTTCTCCAATGTTGCGTCCTCTCCATTGAGTAGATCCTGAAAGGCCTGGAACCTATTGGTGAGGGCTATCCTGAATTCGTTGAACTTTACAGCATCCCGAAGAAAGGCTGTATTAAACTTGTGTGATGTTGTCTGCCTCGTTGTCCAGTGCTTCTTTAGTTTCAGTTTTATTTCGGCGATCAGCAAATAGTGATCTGAGGCTATATCAGCTCCTCTCCTGGTTCTCACATCCTCCATAGTCCTTCTGAACGTTTTGTTGATACAGATATGATCAATCTGATTTTGAGTAGCGTGATCCGGTGAAATCCATGTAGCTTTGTGTATGCGTTTGTGAGGGAATATTGTGCCACCGATGACCAGTTTGTTGGAGGCACATAGGTTTGCAAATCTCTCACCGTTTTCGTTCCTTTCTCCCAGTCCATGTCGTCCCATGATGTCTTCATATCCAGTGTTGTCCATTCCAACCTTGGCATTCAGGTCTCCCATAAGAATCGTCAAATGCTTTGGTGAACATTTCTCGACGATTGACTGCAGCCTTTCGTAGAATTGATCTTTAACGTCGTCATTGTAGTCATTGGTAGGTGCATAACATTGGATGACGTTCATTATAATGTCCTCTTTCTTTGTTTTGAAGGATGCTTTGATGATCCTCGGTCCATGAGATTTCCATCCTATTAGTGCCTTTTGTGCATGTTTGGACAGCATCAGTGCAACTCCTTGTGTGTGTGAAGCATTGTCCTCTTCATGACCAGAGTATAACAGCAGTTCCCCTGAAACTAGTCTCAGTTGTCCTACTTGTGTCCAATTTGTTTCACTGATTCCAAGCACCTCGAGGTTGTATCTTTTCATTTCTGCAGCAACTTGAAATAGTCTTCCAGTCTGCCACAATGTACGAACGTTCCATGTACCTAAAAAAATGGTTGCTCTGGTTGTCAGAAGAGGCATCAGCCCCGTGACTTCCGAGGGAACTCGGCTCTCATCACGAGACGTCATAATTGTTCTTCCAACTCCCAGGGCAGAGTTAAAATGGTTTAAATTATTTCTTCTGGTTAGCAATTTTTTGGCAAGTTAGTTTTTGACGGAATGGGGTCGCCAACCCCATGAACTGAACACTGTTTAAGAATGAAATGACGCTGATAGTGTCCAAAAAAAGTGATTCACATATATGTATATTACCATTTTGATCTGTTAATCAATCACTTAGAAATTCATGGTTCTCATATTTCAGGTCATTTTGTTACTACACAGTTGATATTGAACCAAAGTATTTGTTTTTTTGTCCCAAGTTTAAGTGTATTTAACATTCTATTTTCATTATTGAATAATAATAATTGTTTGTGGAGAGGGACAATTTTTATCTATTGATTCTTATGCAGTCTAATATGATCCTGAATACTAGGTAAAGTAATATTTATTCATTGGTCATTTGTATTTTCTAAATCAATCCATTTGGCGTACAAGTATGAATAACAGAGCAACTGATTGATTTTCCATTCTCTGGTTTGTGACAAATCAGTCATGTTCATCTATGACCACATTATGTATTAAACCGTGAAATTGTAGCTCTAATAGGGAGCATTTGATCAGTGGAACTATCATAATGCAAGAGGCAATCCGAACGTCAATCAAATTTTGGTTTAGCCTGACGATCGATCACCT